GTTTTAGGGATTGGAGATGCCCATATAAATAGATAGAGGGGATTGGCAGCCGCAACCAAGGGAGGATAGGAGAGGGGTTTCGGAAAAATCTGGGGAGGACGGACGGCTGGAGAAGAAAACAGAGAAGGGGAGAGAGCTGATGAAAAGAAAAATGGGGGAAGATAGAAAGGGGTTACGGTAGAAAGGCTGAGGAGGGTTGAAAGTTGATAGAGGCTGTCGGCTAAGGAAGGGTGAGAAGGAGTGTGAGAGACGGATGAAAATTGGAAATAGGCCGCCACCATTGTCGCCGAGAGAGCTTCACCAAGAAAGTGACTTTCTGGGCAGATAGAAAACGGAAGAGGAGGGGAGGCCGTGAGCTGCAGGACAAGAAGAAAAAGCTTCGGGCAATGACGGAAGGAAAATTGCAGGAATCCCTTCTGCAAAAGTTCGGCCTGGCTGGTGAACTGGCCTACTTTAGGACCAGATTCCCGTTTTGATTCAAGCTTTCTGAAGGACCTTTTGATTTCTGCACACTCTTGGGAGGTCATAGAGGAAATCTCGTTCACAAATCTCTGGGAAAAGATCACAGGAAGACCGCTAAATCAAGAGCCAAAGTGACAGCTTCATCAGCGCGAATTTCTGTAGCGGCGACGTCCGCGGCTTTATTTCTGGAATCAGCAGCGCTTCCTGACATTTCCACTCTCAACGGAACCCGTAATCATCTTCTTAGGTAGCCATATCTCCCTCCCTGGTTTGGTTTAACATGTTTTTACACGAAGAACAAGATCTGTTTGATGTTTCTTTGCCGCGGTCTTTCCTTTGCTGTCTGGTTTTCCACCGTTCTGCATTTAATGGTTTTCTCATGATGCATGTTTACTGAATATACCATTTTCGTTTGGGTCAGATTGCGTATTGATTGATGGGTTTGTTAGCTTTGGTTTTTACTAGTGAAAATCTGTTCGATGTTGGATGCTGTGGAAATAAGGATGAATGTTTGCTTTTGACTTGAGTTTAGCAACCAGAAATGGAGAAGGTTTCATTCGATTCTTTGGCTGATTGGAACATATGTCTTTGCAACTTTCTTTGCTGCATTTTGCTACTTGTTTGGGTGTTAGAAAATGGTGCATTTCGTTGTTTGGATTCTTGATGTTGGGCTGGGAAAGTTGCACTATGAGCTCATGAAGTTGCAGCAGCTTGCGGGTGAAAATTGCATAGGAATAGCTTGGCTGCTGAAATTTCTCTTGTTGCTGGATTTTTAGTTTGCCATCTCAAATTTGCATGAAAATTTTCTGGTTTTACCATTCCCTTGTATGCATGATGAGCTTGATATGAATCTGCCATGCGAAGTGCTGAAACTTAAAATCATTTTGCACGAAAGCTGAAACTTAAAATCATTTTGGCACGAAAGTTTTCATAGGAATCTGCATTTTGAGGAAAAGTTGCGGCAGTTTTGTTTGTCCAACGTTTGCATATTCTTTCCAGAAATTTGCATGAGATCTTTTAAGTTTTCTGCCTGTTTGGATGGTGATAGTGATGTGGCTGCTGTCTAATTTAAAGCTGTGTGTGTTTGGGTTTGTAATTGGAGTTTGAAAAACAAAAGGGTATTCGGATTTTGTGTTGGCTGCGGAAAGCTTAAAGGGCAAGGTGTTGCAGAAATGTGTTTTTCTTTCGTGGATTGCTTGGGCTGCTGAAGTTTTTTCTTTCATAATCTACGGTTTCAGCTTTCATTTTTGTTATCTAGAATGTTAGATGTTTTTAATTGAAGATGGTCCGGGCTGCTGAAGTTGGTTGGGTTGTTAGATGTTTTGTTAAAAAAATCTGATTTGCATGGCTTTGGTGTTAAAAAGAAGGGGTTCTTAAGGGGAAATAAGGTGTGTGCTTAATGATTGTGTTGCACTAGTTGTTTGAAGTATTGAAATGGTGATTGTTTTGAACTAATTAAGTGGAAAGAAAGAAGCCACGGCTGGAAATGAAATTTGTTGCAGAGAAAGTTTCTTCTACGTAATTGCATGGCTTTTGCATGAAAATGATTTTCAAAAATCGCACTCCAACCTCTTGGTTTCCATCTAATGCATTATGGCCCAATTACTTTCCATATTCTTACAATTAGGTCCTAAAACACTTGCACTTTAACCCCCTAAGTTCCCCCTTGCCTTGTTATGGTCCAATTAGTTGAATAATTTAATCACTTTTGTCATTCTAGAATCTTAATTGCTTTGGGTTTGCTTTGACATGATTTTGGGTAAGACGTTTAGTGAGTTTTAGGATGCATTTTGAGGTTCAATAAGTTTTAATAGAATTTTTTAGCTTGGATTTGTGTTCTAAACACATTTTTGTACTTGATTTTTATGGGTCTCATCTTAAGTCATCAATTTTGGTATTTTATTTTACTCTCTCTCTTAGAAATTTTCATGTCCTTCTAATTAAGTCCCACTTGCATTAATCGCTTTGTACATAGTTGGTTTGTCTATGTAAATACTTTAATTGACTCAATTTAGTGTTTAACTTTCATTTTTCATATTTAATTTTTGTTTCATGTGATTATTTGATAATTTAAGTGGTACCTTGACCTTTTTATTATTTTGGAGGGTAAGTTAGTAATTTCACTACGTTAGGGCGTCGCTTCAAGGGAGGTACACTCTATCCTTCATTTGCATTTCATTTGACCCTACGTGCTCCTACGTGTTATGTGAACATGCATGCCTACTCCGCTTTCCTTACCTCCTTGCGTGCATTTACTTGCTTTTACTTTTATTTAAGTTTTATGGGGTATGTGTACACCTCTTGGCTTGTAATAGATAGGGCTCGGAGAGCATCTGGTCCATTCACCCTTCCCCCTTTATGTTTTTATGGGGTATGTGTACAGCTCATGGCTTGTAATAGATAGGGCTCGGAGAGCATCTGGTCCACTTCCCCTTCCCCTTGGTTGCTTGTTTTTGTTGCTACATGTTTAATTGCTTTACTAGGCTCTTGCATCTAGTCGAGCATGCTAAATGCTATGTGCTATGTGTTTACGAGTGTTTTGGCATGTCTACTTGCTTTCATAGCCATGAATGAATGGAATGGATGAATGTACGTTTCCGCTAGTCCAACGCTAGTCGGAATTCATAGAATGGGCTAGTCCAACGCTAGACCCTTAGGGATTTCCCCTCATTAGCATATCATTTGCTTGTTCACCACATATCACGCATTTTCCTTAGTTTTATCATTTGGCATGATCCTCGAACCCGTTTTCCCTCCATTTTAGGATTTTTGCATTTCATGCTAGTTATAGGGTTCATTTTGCTTGAGTGTCCCCTTCTGATAAGGGAAACGAGCGAGTGTGGCTACTCGATAGCCTTAGCACGCTAGTTTTGCCTTCTAATCAAAGGGAAAATCAAGTCGAAAAGTTAGGAGTCCACCCCCGTACCCGACTTGTTGCATTCCTCTAGGGTCATACTTTCATTTTTATCACCTACATACTCTCTTAACCACATTTCTTCACATTTCTCAAACCATACTTTTTACTACATTTTACCTATCACTTGCTTATTTTCACTTCACAAATGAAATTCCACTTTACCTTATATATCTATTATTCTATTTTCATACACTTGCACACGAAAACACTTGAATTTGTTTTACAATTTCACACAAGCACCTTTATACAATTTCGCACACTTGCACTTGCATTTCTTGCATCTTTCATACACTTTCACACTTGCACGCTTGAATCTCATTTGCATTAATCGACCTCTATGTGGTTTTCCTTTGTTGGCCGCCACAATTCATGTGGTTTGGGACCAAAAGCCTCACAAGAGACATCGTAGAATTTAGGATTGCATTTTTCCTTCCGTTTTGCATTCATATAGTCATATCCAACGTGCGAACATATATTGGGTAGAAAATTAGGAAAGGTAAGGTTAAGTCGCGCAACTAGCCTTGGTTAGGTCAAAGGGGTGCCTTGGATTCTATCCTTGCCTTCCCCTTTGTCAAACGTGACCCCCGAACCTTTTTTTTTGGCTTACGTGGACTAGGAGTCGTTTTAAAAAGGGTTTTACTACTTTGTCTTTAAAAACACTTTTTGGGTGACTTGGTACACCCCAAATCTATACCAAGTGGCGACTCCGTTTTTCATATTTAAAAAAAAAAAAAACCCTTTTTAAATTTCATTTGGCCAAATCGTCGCTTTCCAAAGTCCCATGGCCTTTTACTTTTAATTTTGCACACATTCACACCACACTTCACATCTCACATCATCACACACATTCATTCACTTTCAAAAAGTGGGGCGCGACAGGGATAATGCTAGGCTTGAAGCCGAAGTGAAGCAACTAAAGGAAGCCAATAAGATGCAAGCCGAGCAGATTAAAGAGCTCGAGTATGATAATGTTGAGGGCCAAGAGAGGATTGACGACCTTTGCGCACAGTTGGAGGAAACTCAGGAACGCATGGTAACTAGGACAATGAAGGTGAGGACTAGGGCAGAGTCCATCCTGAATGTCTGTGACGACCTTCTAGGAGAAGCAAGCGTTGAGGCTTCTTATATGGATATTGGTTCAGGAGATGAACCTACTGAGGCTGGGGGGTCAGCTAGTCCCGCCGTTGACTAGGTCTTCACCATTAGGCTAGGATAGGGGATGATTTTGACATTGTACATAGACAGGTTAGGGGATGTGGTGACCTGGTGGTTGTATAGCCCCTTTTGACTACTCGTGTTAGGTTTTGCTTGATATGACTATATCTGTACTTTTGGGACTCGTACTTGCTATTTTGGTTTCGTTAGCTTGTAAATGACTGCTATGAGTATTTTAATGTATAATATTTTGACTGTTGATCTTGATCTTTGACTATTGACTGTTGACTATTGACTTTTGACCTTTGACTTTATTTCGTCATTAATTTTAACTACAGTGCATTTCACTTGCTTGTCGTGATTTCGATTTTTATTTCTTACTTGACTTTTCATATGAGCATCTATCATATAACATATTGCTTACCCGGTTAGTTATCGTACTTGGGCACTAGGCCACTGAGTAATAATGGAGACTAGACAAAGACGTACTCGGGGCCGTGGACGAGAACCCAGGCAAGTCCAGGATCAAGGGGAGGAACAAGGTTCGGTGGCAAATCAAAACCAGGGACCCCGAGGTGATAGAGGGGACCAAGTAGCAACAGCTATTAATCGAATGACTGATTTGTTGGCCCATTTGGTTGACCAGCAGGGTCAAGTACTTGGTAACCAACAAAGGGACCCCGAAGTAGGCGAGGATAGGGCCCTGGAGCGGTTTCAAAAGTTTGCTCCTCCAAAATTTCTTGGAAGACATGAACCTGAAGTTGCCGAGAATTGGTTCGAGCGAATGGAGGATATATTCGCTGCGTTGCATTACTCTGAAGAGAGGCAAGTTACCTTCGCTGTTTTCCAGCTGGAAGGCGCGGCCCGTTCCTGGTGGAACGTAGTGAGGGCCAAGTGGGAAAGGGAGCAAACCCCACGTACCTGGTTAAACTTCACGAGGGAATTCAATGAGAAATTCCTTCCACCCTTAATTCAGGAGAAAAGGGAGGATGAGTTCATTAAACTGCGCCAAGGCACTTCAAGTGTGGCAGAGTATGAAACGCAGTTCACCCAACTTTCCAAGTTTGCCCCAGAATTGGTGGTAAGTGAGCAAAAGCGTATAAGGCGGTTTATACAAGGTTTGAATGTAGAAATCCAAAAGGATTTAGCTGCCGCTCAAATTGACACCTTTAAGGATGCGCTTGAAAAGGCTCAACGTGTGGAGCAGGCCCGATCTCAAGTTCGGACCTTTCAGGCTAAGAAGCGTGGTGCATCTACCAGTACTCCTGGCCGAAGTGATCAGAATGTGCCACCTCCGAAGTTTGGAAAGGGTACGAGTGGAGCCCGAATTGCGGGGACACCAAGAGGTGGAGCTTCATCTAGAGGAGCTCAAGGTAGAAGGGGACAGGGACAACAGAAAACTGTCTCCCTAGGAGTTCCCGCACCCACCACACGTGTAAGCTGTGGATATTGTGGTAAGCCAAATCATACCGAAGACAATTGCTGGAAAAAGTTGAAAAAGTGCCTTGTTTGTGGAAGTTCTGAACACCAGATTGCCACTTGCCCTGTTAAGAATCGTGACGGGAACGGGGGTACCCAGTCGGAAAAGTCAAACCCTAAGCAACCTACCGCCAGTGCAAGTCGACCCAAAACCTCTGCTAGGGTTTTTGCTTTGGACCACCGGCGAGTTCCGGATTCCTCGGAAGTAGTGGAAGGTACGATCCCTATATTCCACCGCTTAGCTAAACTTTTGATTGACCCTGGGGCAACCCATTCTTTTGTGAATCCTGCCTTTATGTGTGGTATTGCTGCGAATCCTGTTAAGTTGCCGTATGATTTAGAAGTGAAAACACCGACTGGGAATCAAAGCCTAATTACCAATATGGTCTATAAAAATTGTGAGATTTGGGTAGGAGAACGGAAGTTAGTGGGTGACTTGATAAGTTTAGACCTTAAGGGGTACGATGTAATTATAGGCATGGATTTGCTGGCCCGTTATAACGCCCAATTGAACTGTAAAACAAAGGTGGTAGAATTCTCAATACCCGGAGAGGCAACTTTATGGTTGGACGTGAGAGGTAGGTTAGCCTTGTCTGCACTTGTTTCGGGAATCCGAGCCAGAAAGTTGTTAAGTAAGGGGGCGCAAGGCTACTTAGCCTTCTTAATTAATACTCCTGGAGATAAAGTGAAACTGGAGGATGTTGTAGTAGTGAATGAATTTCCTGATATCTTTCCCGATGAGTTGAAATCAATGCCATCAGAAAGGGAAATAGAATTTAAGATCGATTTAGTACCTGGAACTGCTCCCATTGCAAAAACGCCATACCGAATGGCCCCCGCCGAACTTAAAGAGTTGAAACTGCAGTTACAAGATCTGTTAGAATGAGGGTTTATTCGAGAAAGTGAGTCACCGTGGGGGGCGCCAGTGTTATTTGTTATGAAAAATGATGGTAGTTTAAGACTGTGCATTGACTATCGTGGCCTAAATGATGTTACGGTGAAAAATAAATGTCCCTTACCACACATTGATGAATTGTTTGACCAACTACAAGGGGCAATAGTTTTCTCTAAGTTAGACTTGAGGCAAGGCTACTACCAGTTACGAATTAGGCAAGAGGATATACCGAAGACTGCCTTTAATTCCAGATATGGTCATTTTGAGTTCGCTGTGATGCCTTTTGGTTTAACGAATGCCCCTGCTGCATTTATGGATTTAATGCATCGAGTCTTTAAACCCTACTTGGATCAATTTGTTGTAGTATTTATCGATGATATTTTGGTGTATTCCAAGACTCGAGAGGAACACGAACGGTGGTAACCTTTTGTTAAGATGACTTTACCTTTTACTTTTGTAAGCTTGAATTTCTAAGGTTGACTTATGTTATGTAATTCGTAGTATGAAATGGTAAGTGTGACTCTTAGCTTGCCGTATTAAGTTTGGAAAGTTGATTGATAGTTATGTGTTATTAGGATTGTACAATTTAATTTGAAGTTATTTTCCCAGTTATTTTGAGTTGCTAGTTCTTTGATCGACTGAGTCCCGGCGAGAGCTGGGCAGGCAGTCCGCTGATACCCTAGGGTTCGCCCTAGGAAGAGGTGGGGCTGTCACATATTGTGTTCGGGAATACCTTCAAAGAGCAAATTATTACTCAGATATGTGGAATCTAATCAGGACTTTGATATTTGGTATCAGAGCCATACCCTGGTGAAATCATTTCCAATCAGTTACTCTGTTTTATGCACAATCAAGATGTTTATTATCCGGGTATGCGCATGAATATTGTAGATCAACATGACGAGCTTATGGCATGGGTACAAAATCATTATGGAAATTATAATTCATGGTATAAGCATATCCATAATACTATTTGCATAAATAGTGATATCCAGTTGTTTGATCAGTGTAGTGATCTAAGTAAACAAGAGTGCTTAGATAGGATAGAATCATATAAACAAGTCATTAAGGAGTTTTCTGAATATTTGCATCCTTGGTCTTATAGTATTGTTAGTAGACAAGTTAAAATTGATTTGTTATATCATCGTATTTCTGTTATTTGTACTAAAGAGCGTGTACAAGAAGATGTTAAAAAACCCAAAAAGAAAGTTGTTGTTAATAAAGATCTAATGTGACAGCCCCACTTTCCCCTAAGGTGAACCAAAGGGGTTGGCGGACTGCCTGCCCAGCTCTCGCCAGGACTACGGATCAGATTAGCGCGATCTAATACTTTTCGGGTCATACAACCGCGTGAAAACCAGTCGAATCCACAAAATAAGAAAAAACAAAGTCGGAGTCGGCCATGAAGAGGAACCGACACGTCAAAACCCAACCAAACGTTAAGCAAATATTTACATCTCACAAGTTAGCATATACTTCCCAAAAGGGGTATACCAAAGTGATTCAAAAGTGGATACATGTACGGTTTGCCAAATCCAAAAGAGAAACAGACCAAAAGTACATTTAGGGTTTTAATACATGAGCTATACAAAAGATATGTCCAACTAGCTCAAGTCGGCAACCGATTATCAAATCCAGTCCAAAAGTATTTATTTTTCCTGTAAGGAAAACAAAAGGAACAGAACGGGGTGAGCTTGCGCTCAATGAGGTACCAAACAGATAGCAATAAAGTCATGGCATTTCACATTTAACAAATCAGATACACATGTCAGATGTAAAGCAAAGGAACTAATGATTCAAATCAGAAGGATACGGGTGGCTCTCAGGAGCCAAATTTACAGTGCAGTACTTGATCCAAACCGGTTGACTCTCCGTCAACGCATATAGAACCAACGCGTCCGTAGACCCCTCTTTACACCGAATTCCGTCCACCAAACACCCCTTTTCCGGGCCCGCTCACCGTAACCGAACAGAAATGGTAATACTCGAGTATACCCGAAATCAAGGGTCTCAATACCCAAAATCCCCGAACAGACTACCGTGGTTCGTTATCTAATCGTCCAGGCCCTTGCCGGCCCGACTCGAATAACTTAGCCACAGGATTGAGCTCATAGGTCATAGAAATCCGAACAGATGCAGACACAGATAACAGATTCAGATACAGATACAGAATAGCAGATTCAGATAGGCACTCAAAATTGGCATATGAACAGAGAAGAGAACGAGTGTGATAAAGTACACCCTCGTCTCGAACAAATAAACAGATTGCAGAGCAGAAATCAAGTTAAACAGCAATGGAGGGGAGTGGTACACTCACCGGCTCAACTTCAAAAGTTTTCACTTCAGATTGGCCTTAATCGACAAGAAACCCTAAAATAATCAAAATAAACCAATTGAAGGTTTTACTTACAGAATCGAGTAAACAGAATGCACATGTGAGGCTCGACTACACGTCGTACGCCTTGCCAAATAAATACTAGTGCAAGAATGCAAAAACACGATTCCCATGGAAACGAAAAGGTAGCATGAAGACCTAGGCGCAAACAACCCAAAAGTCTTTCATTCTGCTAAAAGGCAAATCCAACTTAAAGGAACCAAACGGCCTAGAAAAATCGGGCAGCACCTCCCCTAAAATTCTTACTTTTCCAGCCATTAAGGCTTCATTATATCCTCAAATCAGTCCCAACATTTCACACAAAAGTCATCTCATTTCCCAAAAGCCGTTCACTAGGCTCAAAGTAGTACAAGTACAAAACTTAGCTAGGAAACAACCGAAATGAAAGCAAGCCCCAAAAGAGACTCGATAACGAGTCATATAGCCATGCCAACCACAACCCCAATAAGGTTTCATATGCATAAATGAGCATTAAAGCAAACCAGAAAATCAGGAAATGTAACTCATTTGTTCCAACAATAAAAACAGTTTTGACCTCCTAATGCGGTAATGGCGTCAATGTCACTACGATTATCGGATGGGGGTGTAAGACCCACCGTTTCGAAGCTATGAAACAGGGCTACAACAATGCAGAAGGTCACTCAATCCAGTTCCTAGCTTAACTAGGTCAAAAATTCCAGATACTAAACCAGAATGACCAAAACAGGTTTGCAAATCACACAAAACTGTAATTACTATAATTCAGTCTATATAGGTCCAAATGCCGAAATTCCAAAGGCATATGGTAGCTAAGACATCCAGCTACATTTCATCAGAAGACACCAACTTCAAAATCCAAACCAATTCCAGTCAAAAGGGCCAATTACTATCGCAGTTTTCGCATTCTGATCAAAACAGAACAGCTACAGTAAAAACGGCATAACTCACTCTACACTCATCCAAATGACCTGAAATTTTGCAGGCACTTCAAACTCATCAATACCTACAACTTTCATGTTTTGAGTAAAGTCTAATTCGGCATCTAACCACATGATATAAAACCGGACAGAAATTGGGGATGATAGAACCCTAACTTTCACTTTTCCTTCCAAATCCAAAATTGGTTGCAATTATCTATCATTCACACCTACCATAGTCATTACCCCTCATTATCAACCATCATAAACAACCACAACACCATGATCATATTAAACCAGAAAATTCCTCAAAAAAATAAAAACTTCACCAATTCATCACAAACCAAGAAATAAATCAAATAATCCATCACTTTAGCTCCCATTAGGCACAAATTAAACATCATTAAGTGTAGGAGGAAGTTCATATACCACTTACCAAGTAAACAAGAGAGGGAGAGATGTAGACCACCTTAGCTCTTCAAAAAAACTTCACCAAATCACTTACTAGCACCAACTAGAGGGATTTTATGGAACAATTCTAAGTTTAATCGGTTCGAATGGAAGATTGAGCTAGTTTGAAGCTTGAAACTTGGAGAAGTTTTCTTCCTTTTCCTTGCAAGAGGTTCGGCCATGAGAGAGAGAAGAAATGGTGATTTTTGTGAAATTTTAAGATATTTAATCACTTGGTAAAAAAGTCAAAAAGTGAATAGTGTCCATCCAATCAAATGGTGACACTTGTCACCTAATTAATGAATCTCTATCTCTTTGTTCCCCCTCAAACCAATCCAAATGACATCCTCTACTTATCTCTTAACGCCCGATAAATTTCAACCAGTATCCGAAACTTAAACTTATTGGCCGAATTTTTCCGAACTTATCGCACTAGTGGGTCCCACGTCCGTTATCTATCCTTAATTTTTCGAAAACTCTCCAATACTAGAAAATTCATATAAAAACTATAATTACTCATAAAATGCATCAGGAGAATTTTCCTAAACCAGAAAATGCAGAAAACATGCCATTAAAGGAAATAAACCCTAGAAAATTATTAGGGAATTTACGGGTTCTCACATCTAAGTATTAGTCATGTGTAATTTATGGCTTCTTCTTCTAAATCTACTTCTATTACTACTGCTAGTGGTTTAAAAATAGAAACAATACATAGTAATAAGTTAGATTATTTGTATGAAGTTTCTATTGAACCAAAGGTGGTTAATACTACCTCTATTCCTGTTATCAATCCGTATAATGCTTTTGGAAAGCCGTTTTTTTCTCCTACTCATGTGTTAAAATCATTAATCAGATCTCATCCGAAAGGAGTTAAAGAATATATTCAAGCATCAAAAGTTGACTAACACCCAATTCCTGCTACCAGAAAAGAACAATTTATAACTTTGCACATTCCCAATGATTTTCCTATGCAATGGAAGCAGCAAGGTTATACCCATGTACACTTTGGAGCAATCAGGATTTCCCTATCATTTCATGGAAAGAAAGGACCCCCAGTAGTTGTTCGTGTAGCACTACTTGACACAAGATTTAAACAATACCAGCATGCTTGTATAGCAACAATAGAGACCACTATCAATGCAGGAACAGTTTTTGTTACTCTCTTTCCTAATTTTAACATGTCCTTAGCAGATCCACATCTATTAGATGCTCTTAAAGTGCAGGTACAAATTATTGGGGCAGAACAGGTC